TTGGATCCTAGCCTAGCTTTGGCATTCTCTTTGGGCCTCACTTTCTCTGTCCATGAAATGGGAGCAGAAGACGAGGGTAATCTTCCAGGTTTCTTTCTGCTGTAAGGCAGTATTCAATTTGAAATCTAGTGTTTCTCCACGTGTATCTTTTTAGCTCTTTTGAAAGCAATTACTTCATCTTTTGGGATCTTGCTGTACTTTTTCTCAACTCCTCTCTGGTGTGCTCCAGCCAACCAGAACTTTCCCTTCTTTTCCCGTTGTGCTATCCTGGTCATCTTTTTTTTTTTTTTTTTTTTTTTCTTGACTGAACTTGAAGATTTAGGCAGTCCTTAGATAGACAGTAGAAAACTGTTCTCTTGTCAGCTTGTTCAACTATTATTTATTTTGTCATTCAGATTCATATTTAATTCCAGGTAACAGAATTAGGAAACAGGTATTTTTCTCTACTAAGAGGTTGGAATTCTTATAAATGGCAGTTTTACATAAAGTTTGGGAAAAAGTGAATGATAGAGAATACTTCAGTCAACTCTATATTGAACAAATACCCAATTGCCAGGCTAACATTAAATTGAGTATAATGTGCTGGAGATTGTGGGAGTCTTAACTGGCTGGGGCTCTGGAAAACATGAACTTTGGACAGACCTTAAGAGATCATGCAGAAGTAATTAGGTTGGAGCATTCTGTTGCTGTTTTGATGGATTCTGTTAGCAGACCACTTGGATAAAGGTAGCATATCATGAAGCCTTCCAGTATTCTTTAGCATAAACTCTGTTGGTGCCTTTGAAATCACACACAGAGAGGACATGTAGGCTCTCAAGTTGCAGCTTTCCAGCAGTAGTAATGAAACAGTATAATCTGAATTGTTTTGTCACCTTTTACAGCTTTCGCAGGTTGTTATGAAGAAACAAACCCCCCCAAAAAATGGTGTCTTAGGGGTTTGATCTTATTTTATGTTATCTGCTAGGTTTGAATACTGCAGGAGAGTCAGAAAAGATTATGTTATGTTGCTGCATATGTTCATTAAATCTATGGTGATTTTAAAGATGACAATCGAAATTTGTAATTGTGTACAGTTACTTTTGCTAATTACCATTTTCTTGTGTCTGATATGTATTTATAATACTTTTTTTTTTGGTGTTTTTTGTCTTGTTTTTTAGGCCAGCTAAAATTAAAGATAAAATCCTGGTTGATGCTTTCTTGACTCAATATAATTATTTTAGGAGTACTTAAGTGGAAAGAGTTTATAAAATTCAACTATTTAAATACCCAGCTGCTTGTGTTTATTTATAGCCTGTATCTGGCTCATTTATTTTCCTAAAATAGAAAACTTTCTGGAAGTTTAAATTGAAAGATTTCCTATATATTTAAAATAGAAATAATGGATTAAGTTATGAAATTTAATTGGCATCTTTGAACATGACTGAATTCTATCCTTGAAAATCTAAACTTATTTTTATAGCAACAGTAATAGTATTGGTAAAGTAGTTATACTAATTTATCCAAGTACAAGAGGCTTTCATTAATATAGGCCTTAGTATTTCTGTTGATGGACACAGATTTTATTAATGACATATAAAATACAAATAAGACATAGTCTGAAAAGTATTTTCTTTATTACTTAAAAAAATTATCCTATTAAAGAGGAACAGCTAAATCTTTACTGAGATTGCTACCGTGACAGGGAAAGAGAAGATTCTCTCTTACGTACTGTTGGCTTTACCGAGATGACTTAGTTGGGTGATTGAGTATCTTGATCATAAAAAGTAATGGATGTCAAGAAGCTTTGACTTATGAAGTACTACCAATTTTTGTAAACTTTTATTGGAATACAGCCAAGCGAATTAATTCGCATATTATTATTGACCTTTTTGGTTATAATGTTGATGTTGAGTAGTTTTCATAGAGATTATATGAATATAAGGCCTAAAATATTTATTGTTAATCATTAATTAAGAAGCTTAGATTAGTGTCTCACACCCAGAGGAATTCAAGCAATAAAGATATAATCAGAAAAAGTCTGGGTGTCCAGGGCTCAGGCTGGCAAAATTAGGATTATGGATCTATGTTTTAGCTGTTTATGATTTGGCTGTAGTGCTGGCTCTAGAGGCCTGGTGTACTCCAGGTTCTTTCTTCCTTTGGCCCAGGCTCCTTTTCTGCTTCCTTCACTTTCCTTCCTCTGCTTCCTGTTGGCTGTGTGTGTTCATTGAGGTCTAAATTTAGGCAGCCCAGTAACTACTCCTAATGAGAATATAAGAGAGCCTAATTATGTAGATTATGCTGGCTTTCCTGGTGCATTAGCAGGGAGCTTGGAGTGGAAGCAGAGAAGTAGGACTCTGCTGGTGTACAGATGTGGGATGCTGGCACTGTAGGCAGCATCTAACCCTTACTCTGTCCTACAACACTGACTCTACTAGCAGTGTTATATTAGCTGTAACATTTGTTATGTTTTTGTTTTATGAAAGCGTAAAATAAAAAAGGTAAGTTTCAAAAAATATTTATTTTATTTTTATTGATTGGAAGAGATACAGAGAGAGAGAGAGAGAGTCAGACAGACAGAGAAGACAGAGAGAGAAACTACAATCCGCTGATCTACTCCCCAGATGGCCACATTGGCTGGAGCTGGGCCAATCTGAAGTCAAGAGGCAGGAGCTTTTTCCTGGTCTCCCATATGAATGCAGAATTCCAAGAACTTGAGTCATCCTCCATTGCTTTCCAAGGCCATTCTCAGGGACTGGGTCAGAGGTGCAGCAGTTGGGACATACTGGCACCCATGTTGGGTACCTTGGTACCAGCTCCAATGCTGCCTTATTTACCATGAAGGTATTATTAGATCAATTAGAAACTTAGGACCTAACCCATTCCAGTTATTGTAAAATTAACAGTGATGCAAGTAAAAGATTAAGGAAGAAGAATTTTAAGTATTTTTCATTTTAAAGATTTATTTTTATTATTTTTTTTATTGGAAAGGCGGATATACAGAGAGGAGAGACAGAGAGGAAGATCTTCCGTCCCATGATTCACTCCCCAAGTGAGCACAACGGGCCGATACTATGCCAATCCGAAGCCAGGAGCCTCTTCCGGGTCTCCCACACGGGTGCAGGTTCCCAAAGCTTTGGGTCGTCCTCGACTGCTTTCCCAGGCCACAGGCAGGGAGCTGGAAGGGAAGTGGGGCTGCCGGGATTAGAACCGGCACCCATATGGGATCGCGGGCGTGCAAGGCGAGGACGTTTAACCACTTGTGCCACCGCGCCGGGCCCAGTATTTTTCATTTTAATTGGTATTTATTATTTGTAGTAGTTTTTAGTTCTTACAAAAATGTGTAAAATTCTAGGATGATACAGCATCTAAGCTAGATCCTTAGTTAATAGAATTAGCAATTAGGCACATCTTTAGAGTTTCGAAATCGTGCTAATCTTAGTAAATTGAATCCTGTTTTGGTTAAATTACATTTTCTTGTTTGTGGTTTAAATAAGGTTTAAATAGATCTGAATTTCTCATTGAATGTATTTTAAAGCTCATACCTAAATGCATTAAACTGCAATTTATCTACCTCTACTATATTAAAAACTAAAATATTCTTCCTATTTTCTCATTGTTGTGGTTGGCTGCCATTTTGATACGTGCAGATATCAGTCCCTTCTTTTTCCCTCTCAGAGTTCTGAGTCACACAGAGGTATTAAGTGCTTTTCTTGGAACTGCAGTTTGAGTCAGTATAAAGTTAACTGTTGAATTTATTTTATAAGTTTATAGGAACCAGACAACAAAGTTTAAGAGGTGTGTGTATATATTCCGAAAACAGATGGATGCCATGGAAGATGAGGGAGTGTTTTAGGTTTTAAGAAAATATTGTTGAGTGGTTAAGAGTTTTATCTTGCCAGGATATGGGAAGAGGGAGGAGAGTCTTGTTTGGGGTAAAGTGAGACTCTGAGACATACAGTTAGTATCAGCATTCTGTCCACTTGTAAATGAGAAAAAGCAGCACCAGAATGACTTCATCTATCAAGGGAGAGGAGAGCAGACAGAAAAATTTGGCCATGAATTCTGCTTTTCATTCTTGGCTAAGCTGCTAATTAGCTGGCAGCTAGTGGGGAGACCAGTCAGGATGTTCTGCCCTGCGGCAGCTGGCTAGGTCATAAAGAACACAGGTTTAGTTTCGTATGAATCCTTGAGAGGACTGTGGATGTTAAACTGTGACGTACGTGGAAGAGGCTGTCTGCCAGTGTCCTTGTTAGCATGCCTGCCTCTCTTATGCCGGATCCGCATGCTTGCTTGCTTATGATCTTGTTCCTGTGATCTTTTTTTTTTTTTTTTTTGACATCCATCTTCCTGAGATTTTGTTTGGTACTATAAATCATTATTTTAAACATTGTTTACATGTAATTTTTTCCTTAAAATCGTGTTCCGGTAAAAAGATATTAGCCTGATTAGGACTATGGGGAAGCATCCTATTCCATGATACAGCTGGTTGAGCCACCATCTTCAACACTGGCATCCCGTGCATGAGTTCTGACTGTTCCACCTCTAATACAGTGTGCTTGGGAGGGATAGCAGAAGATGGTCCAACATGTGTGGGCCCCTATATCCATGTGGGAGACCCTGGCTGTTTTCAATCTGGCTAAACATTGGTCATTGTGACCATTTGGAGATTGAACCAGTTGATGGTGAATCTCTCTCTCTCTCTTTCTCTCTCTCTAATTCTATCTTCAGATAAAATAAGTAAATCATGAAAACAGCAACAAAATGTATATGGGAAACCTGAACTACAATTTGTAAGCAGTATGGATGGAATTCCCTAATCAGTTATCTAGACAATATTAATAAATCCATAAAAATGTATTTATCCTAAACAGTGTATGCTTTTCATTGCTGTTGCCCTGAAAGCTTAGGTTGTGCCTTTGGTTTGTTTTGCAGATTTTTTGTACTCAGTATTCTGATAGGTTATTTTTCTTTGATATAGAGTGAAAATATGGTAAATTATGATACATTCTGTTTTCTTACAGTCAAAGGCAGTCGGCTTGTTAGATGTGGATGTGTATGGTCCTTCAATTCCAAAGATGATGAATCTGAAAGGAAACCCAGAGTTATCACAGCGTAAGTAAAGCAGAGCTGAATAGTACAGCTGTAATTGCATTTCTGTTGAGTACCTACTGAGTGTCCACTTTGTGCCAGATATTGTATAAGCTTTTCTCAGAAGTCGGGTAAGGCACCGGACCATTGGGGTTTGACTCTCAGCTCTGTAGCTTGTCTTTGACTGTGTGGTTTTGAATAAATTGTCTATCCTGTTCATCTATTGCCTCCTCTCCTTTAGCATGTATAAAAGAGTCACTGTTATTTATTGGGAGGGTTTATTGTGTGCATTTACCACAGTTCCTGGCACAGTGTAATAAAAAAATACTAGATCATCATCATTGTTTTAAATGTGTGGATACATAAGAATACTTGAATACAAAATGCAAGGATACTTCAAAAAATTCATAAAAAATGGAACCCAAAGATAATTTTATTCTGGTATAAAACATTTTGAAATTTGGGTGTAGATTTTTTTTTGTAATGAACATTTCCATGACTCCTTCATACAATATATTCGTGGTAGAAATAAATATTAATTTATTAAATCTATTAATTTAATTTAATTTATTAAATCTATTAATTAAATTATTGATTTATAAAATCTAAAGATATGTCTCGGTTTTGAAGTGTTTTTAAAAAATCTTCCAGTTGTTGCTTTCTCTCCCTTTCTCTTCCCTGTCATTGATAAAAAGTACTAAGATCTTCCATCCGATGGTTTACTCCCCAAGTGGCAGCAGCCAATCTGAAGCCAGGAGGCAGGAGCTTCCTCTGGGTCTTCCACGCAGGTGCAGAGTCCCAAAGCTTTGGGCTGCCCTTGGCTGCATTCCCCAGCCACAGGGAGGGAGCTGGATGGGAAGCAGGGCTGCCAAGATTAGAACCGGTGCCGGTATGGGATCCTGGTGTGTTCAAGGTGAGGACTTTAGCCGCTACACTAATGCGCCGGGCTCCAACATACATGTTTTAATAAAGGTAGCGTGTCAGTCGGCTCCTTATTACTTTAACTGAAACATCCCAGAGAGACCACCATGAGGGTCATGAAGGTGTACTGTGGCTTATAGTTTGGAGTCTCACAGTGCATGATCAGGTGGATATGTTAGTCTGGTGTTTGACAGTGGTGGAGGATGGAGCATGTGCACAAGGAGGCTCACATGGGGTGCTTGGAAACAGAGAGAAGGAGTCAGGCTAAATGTGATTTATATTGCTAACCTTCTCTGAGAATTACCTTTTTAAAGGCAGAGAGCTCTCAGTGACATCAAGAGCTCCCCTTGGGCCCACCTCTTAGATGTCATAATTAGATACAATCCCTCACCATAATCCATTAACCATGACTATTAATCCATGAATATTAATATACGACTTTGGGGACCAAGCCCTTAATATACAGACCCTTTGGGGTTTACTCAAACTATTATCCAGATGAAAACAGCTAATAGAAAACTTTAAGGACAAGAAAGTGCTCTGATGAAGAAGTAAAGAATTGGGGGCTGGTGTTACGTTAGAGCAGGCTAAACCACCACCTCAGGAGGGCCATTCTACCTGTGAGTGCCGGTTCCAGTCCTTTCTGCTCTGCTCTGATTCCCATTCAGCTCATGTGCCTTGAAGACAGTGGAAGGTGGTCCAGGTACTGGCACCCCTGCCCCCATGTGGAAGACCAGGATGCAGTTTCTGGCTTCTGGCTTTGGCCTGGCCTAGGCCTAGCTATTATAGTCATTTAGGGAGTCAAACAGCTGATGGATGGTGTCTGTCACTCTGTCTTTCGGATAAACAAACCTTTTTTAGAAAATGAAGAATTGGAAAAATTGGTAATGTTTTTGAAGAATAATTTTATGTGAAATTGGCTTAAAAATTGAAATTGGTTTCTAAATATGAGTATAAGATTGAATAATTTCTTTCCATTTCATATTGAACTTTTTGTTATGCATAGATCTGGGACAAAATGACCAAATTTATTGATGAATGTTTATTGGATTACTATGTAGGTGAAAGTATTGTTTAAAAATTAATTGGACGTTGTTTGCTATTTAAGGTGCTTTTGTTTTGGGCTTATTTATTAGAGTCAATTAAAGTAAATTCCCAACTATTCTTTATGACATAATAGTCCTGAGGGTCTGGTGTGATAGTCTATTGGCTAAATCCTTACCTTGTAGCTGCCAGGATTCCACATAGGTGACGGTTCATGTCGCAGCTGCTCCACTTCCCATCCTGCTCCCTACTTGTGCCCTGGGAAAACACTGGAGAATGGCCCAAAGCCTTGGCACCCTGCACCCATTGTGGCCACATGGGGAGTGAGCCGGTGGACAGAAGAGCTCTGTATCTCATTCTTTCTGTAAATCTGCCTTTCCAATAAAAAATAAGTGTATCTTGAAAAAAAGGGAGAAAAAGAAAAAAGATAGTCCCTACTATTTTGAAGAAAACTTGAAAATCTAGTGATGCTAAAATTGTGTGTGACCAACACTGTGGCACCGTAGTTAAGCCTTGGCCTGTGGTGCCATCATCCAACATTGGTGCTACATTGAGTCCTGGCTGCTCCAGTTGTGATCCATGTGTTATGGCCTGGGAAAACAGCAGCAGATGATTCAAGTCCTTTGGCCCCTGCATCCATATGTTAATCCAGAAGAAGTGCCTCGTTCCTGGTTTTGCATTAGCTCAGCTCTGACATTTCGTCCATTTGAAGCAGCAGATAGAAGATTTCTGTCTCTCTTTGTCTCTCCCTCCCTCTCTCTCTGCTTCTGTCTAACTATAGTTTAAATTGCTAGCTATACCTTATATTGATATAAGGTATACTATATCATATTGATATAAGGTATACTATATCAATACTTTATATTGCTAGCAATTTGCATGGTTGATTTTATTTTATGGAAACAAACTTAAAAATCTATTATTTTCCTGGTTTCTTTATTTGTATTCTTTTAGTGGAATAATACTTAATTTGAAAATATGCAACATGAGCCAAGATATCAAACTTTCACAAAGAAGGAGCAATGAATTTGCCTATTTTAAATGACAGATTCATGATGTCTACCTCTTGATTAAAGCAATGTTAAAACTTGTAGTGCGTGAATGATGGAAAAACTGAGCCCTCAGTTATCAGGCTTTTCTAAGTAGTGTATTCCGTCTTTGCCAACATAAATGCTTGGAAGTGAACTTTAATTTCTTTCTTCATGTTTTACTGAATATGTAATCTTAAATTTGATGTTTGCAAATTTGCTGCCATTAAACAGGTTTTCTGAAAAAGATAAGATACTGGAACTCTGAGGCAACTGGAAAAAAAATTGCCTTTTTTCGTTGACAGCTGATCTTAAGTCTCCCAAGAAATCATTTGAATGATTTGGACATTCATGCAAAACAAAGTGGGTTTTAAGAAATTCAACTTCTAAATTATTTTTTGGTTCCTAGTAAAACCTGTCAGCATTATATTAATTGGCATCATCCTGACTTTTCTTGGTTTTATCATGTCAACCTATCCTGTTATATTCTCTATTACAGAAAGAAAACCATGAATAAAGTTGCTCAATTAGTAATAGAACTGTGAAATACTTGCTCCTAGAGTTCAGTTTGGGGAGTGACAGACCAGTGCACAGAATCCTAGGCATGTAGGCCTTATTCAGTCTTTACACTAAACTGAACAGCCTCCAGGTTCTGGGGCTTAAATGTTGGCTTCTTTCTGTCATTTAAGCAGGTACATGGTAATGCTTTTTTTTTTTTTAAATGAATTTGTTCCCTCTTTACCCCCTGCCTCCCTGAAACTTGTTTATTTTAAAGGCAGAGTTACAGAGAGAGAGAGAGAATGATAGGGACAGAATGAGATCTTTGATCTACTGGTTCACTTCCCAAATATGTAATGTTTGGAACTGGTCCAAACTGAAGTCAGGAGTCTGAAGCCAAGAATTCTGAGTCTCCCATGTGGGTGACTCCAAGTTTTTAGCTGGATGCTCAGAGAGGAAACTGGATTAGAAGGGGAGTAGCCGGGACTCAGAGCAGCACTTTGAGATGGAATGGCAATGACGATGTTAATACCCGTACTAGCACCAGTTCGTTCATCTTTAAAACTTTAGTTTAGAGCCAACAGATTATATGTTTCATTCCCTTTGGATCATTTTTTCTTTTGGGTAGAATTGTAGGAAAACCTGAGCCCTTTGCAGTTTTAATATTTCAGTCTTGATTACCATGTTAAATTTCACAGTTGACTTTAGAAAAATGAATTTATTAATGAAATAAAATTTGAGTGTATAGTAGTTTGAGGAATTTATGTTGAAAAGGTTTTTGTCAGTTTAAAATGACATGATTCTTGTATTATCAAAATTATAATAATAGGAAATCTAGCCAGAGTATAGAAAGGGTATTGCATAAAAATATCAGCATATTGACAAGTTAATGACTATAAGTGAGCAGTTGCTTTAGGAACCTCATAACATTCGCAATAAAATCTGCATGCAGTTGGAGAAACAGGCATCAAAACTTGAATTTAACCTCTATTTTTCTAAAAAAAACAAAAACAAGAACTGCCAGTTTTCCTCTTCATTTGCATTTTTCTAATAACATAACATTCAAATTTCATAGTATAGTGCAACCAGATTGTAGCCCTAGAAATAATTGGCTAGAAGGCTTTCTGTTGAAATGATGAATAAGCATGTGGGGATTTGTTGCTGCATGGCACTAGTGTAACACTCGTTTTGGTCATCATTTTGGGAGTTTTTTTTAAGATTTCTCAAATGCCAGAAATATATGCTTGCTTCCTTAGTTGTGTGATGATGAATCATTTTCAGAATTTTGTGAATTTTTTTAAATGATTAAATGTAAGACGTTTTTATGGTATGATTCACTTCTATTGTCCGATTCTGATTTTTGCACTCATATATCACAGTTTCCTTTCTGTCTTAGGTATTAAATTTCTTTCAAGCTTAGGAGTGAATTTATATGCGGGCTTATGAGTGAGATATTATGGAAAATAAGTTTGGCCAAATGATATTTTATAAAATAACACCCGCCTTTGGTAAAAACTGTAAGGAGGGGTAGAG